GACCTCTCCCTCGGTGGTGATTTCAATTGTTTTTATTATGTCGAGTTCAGTGTAAAACTTACCACCCCAACTTAAAAATAAGTATGCAAATGGTTTTTCGCGAATTTTCCTAGAACTTTGCCTATGAACGCAGCTTTTGGGTGTGCCTAGTGATGTCAGCCAGGCAATGAAAATGAACGCTGTCGAATAGACCAACAGCATAAGTTTTCATCGATTAAGGTTTCACTCAAACATCCGTGCTGCACACATACACCCCTTCAAAAAACGAGAAGAGCGTCGGGTGCAGACCATACACCACAAGTGACGACGGCCTCCACAAAATGTAAATGTTTTCTGCCAATGAAATGATTAGCCTGTTGCAGTTGTATTCTATCAGTTGTCACTAATTACAACTATCATTTACCAAAATCAGCTATCACTGAACCACTACTAACCAGATTTACTTGGAGGCCGTCGTCACTTGTGGTGTATGGTCTGCACCCGACGCTCTTCTTGTTTTTGAAATTGAAAGGGAGGGTACGTACCCTCCGTCAACTTATCTACCTGCTATGTTATTTAATGCGACACAACAAGCGTAAGCATTACCTCGGCTCATTTGTGCTATCCAATTACGAGTTTGCCTGCCATGTGCATCTCAAAACAAAATGTATAGAAGGTGTACAGATCTTTTCAGCCTTGGAATGTTCAAGCTTGACTGATTGCAATCGGATGCTTTCCTTTCGCTACTCCTTTCTATCGAACATTTTCTGATGGCTGATTTGTTGTTCCACTTAATCGATCCTCATTTCACCTTATCTTCGAGTTAGACAGTTATCCTGCACACGGTTTTCCCTTCTAACTACTCTCGCCTGATTTTCGATCTCTTACTAATAATGCCATTTATTTTTTCAGCTCCAGAACTACAGCGATTACATCTTATAGATCCAAACCAGTTCCCAAAACCAATTCACTACTGACAGCATCTTCGAGGAGTTGCTGTCTATGCAGCAGTTCTGACCAGGGTCAAGCGAGGCGTCGAGGAAAATTTGGAAATACGACCCCCCCCCCCCCTCCCTCCGCCAGAGGCCGAAGTCCATGAAACAACCCTCTTCAAAAGCCGAACTATGAAAAGGTTGTTTAATTCTCCCCAAAACTGTTCATAAAAAAGCCCTGCTACCCACCTTCACTAAAAAGTTCGTTTAAAGGAATCTTGCGCGGAAAAATCATGATTCTATTTCAGCCATAAATCACTGGCTTGAGACTCATTATCCACGATAATAGTGAAAAGAACTGAAGTATTCGCTTTCGTTTTGATTAGCTATCCGAAAGCTCGAAAAGGTTGCTACGCG